GAAATAATCTGTCATAGGGAACCCGAAAGGGGCGCTGTGGGGTGCTAACACCTTCCCCACGCGTAACCGACTCCCTTACCCGACTCTGGTTGTCATGGCCGAAGTCGATTTTTGAATCGATTGCCTTAAACTTCTTTTTCCAATGTTTTGAGTAAAACATTGGTGGCGACTCCATGAACCCTTCCTTTTTATGAAAACCGCTAATCCATGGAGGGTCCCGCTTGGGATTAACATGGATTGGTGAGCCTTTTAATAAAATTGCTCGTTTGACAAGGTCTCAGTTTGAGAATAAGTCATTCTAGCAATCCATATTTTTAAACAAATAAAAGAGTCCAACCATCCTTCGCGAATGCCGAAAGCCCGTTTCGGGCCGGTGGCGACATTCGGGATTGAGTCTCATATCATAACGCCGAAGCTGCTGAAATACCTCGACCAAGTCCGTGATATGGTTGTGAAGGTCATTTGACTTGACGACCATATCATCAACATAGACTTCCATATTCTTACCGGTTTAACATTTGAATATCTTGTTCATGAGTCGTTGATATGTAGCACCGACATTCTTTAAGCCAAATGGCATTACCCGATAACAATAGTTAGTCGAGTCAGTGATGAAATCTTTCTAGTCTTGTCTCATTTCTTTCCACCAATTGGTGTAGCTATTCCTAATTGCTCCTTTTTAGTTTTTGCATTAATATTCCAGAATCTTAAGGTGTGTTGAGTGCCTCTTGAAAGGTGTGGAAGGCCAAGCTCAAGGGAAGCCAACATTGAAGGCTTTTGGTGGTGACCTAGGAAGCTTGTTTCTCTATTGGAGTGGAACCTTGGAAATTAAACACCTAGGAGTAACCACCATCAAGGTTACTTCTAAAAGAGGAGTGATACACATTGTGCGGGCTGCAACCTTGGTGGCTGAATTGGAGGAAGAAGGAGCAAAAATTTTGTGAAAACAAGGAATTAGTAACAAATTTAGTGACGGAAATTTTGATTTCAAAATAATTCATTTCTAAATCCGTCACTAAAATTGTCACTAATTAGTGGCTGAATTTTGTTTCTAAAAACTTTTGGTGCAGCCATTAATTTCATTTCAAGTGAATTTGCATTTCATTTGAATGTGAATTTACATTTTATTTGGTGTAAATTTACATTTCATCTCTTGTAAATTTTTCAACTTCTCATTTTTGTACAAGGCCTTTATTAGGAGTGTCTTGGAGTGCCTTTGGTGTATCTCCATCTCTCCTTAGTGTTTTCAAGTAGGTAAAAACGTGTAGTGCTTGTGAGAGTGGTCCTTGGAAGTCTTTGGTACTTTCTAAGCTTTCACCTAGGTTTACTTGCTTTGAATGCCTAGTTTATGTTTTCTTGCCTTTAAGTTTTCTTGCAATTTAGGTTTTCATGCAATTTATGTTTTAAGCAATTTATGTTTTTAGCAATTTAAGTTTTCAAGAAATTTATGTTTTCATGTCATTTATGTTTTCAAGCAATTTATGATTTCAACTATTGATAATTGTATACATTAGGCACTTGCTTGTTATTTTCTTTTGAAAAAGATCTTTTTATGCGAATTCGTTGCCCAGAACGGGTCGTTCTCAAGATGGAACGGGCCGTTCTGGACTATTAAAAACTGCCTTTAACTCTAAATGGGAACGGGCTTGGAACGGGCCTGGAATGGGCTAAAGCAGTTGTGAGTAATAAATGCAACCAGAACGGGCCGTTCTGGTTTGAGAACGGGCCGTTCTGGGTGTGATTTTTACCCATGATTCAAGGGTCCAGATATGCTGACAGGAGAAGGAAGGACTTGGAATTTCAAGAAGGTGACCATGTGTTCTTGAAAGTCACTCTGTGGACTGGGTTGGCAGGGCATTAAAATCCAGAAAACTTATTCCTCAATTTATTGGTCCTTTCCGAATTCTAAAAAGAGTCAGTAGTGTTGCTTACCAAATTGCTTTGCCTCCTAATCTGTCATCCGATCTCAAGGGAGTTTAGAGATTTTTACTTGAAGAGACTTGATTATTAAGTGGCTCTTTAGTAGCTCACTTCCCTCCAAAATTCAATTTGTACTTTTAGACCTCTAAGTGCCAAGTCTAAGCACTTACAAAAATATTATTTTCTCTAAAAAATAATTTTGTGTGAAAATACCTTTTTGTTTAAAATGTCTCAAAACTCTAACCCTAGTGAAAGTGATGGCTCTCCAAAAAGTCTTTCTTACATAACTAAAGAGCTCAAATCACTTAAACTATGGAGACAGCAAGAGGCCTTTCAAAGAGAGAAGGACAAAATTGAAAGGGAAGGCCAACTTGCTTATCTTGAAGAGGAATTGAGGATTCTTAAACAAGAAGAGGAAAAACTAAAAGAAAGCATGAAAAAACATAAAAGAATGAGTAGGAGCTCACACTCCTAATACACATCCCCAAATGAAAGTATGAACAATGGGGATCACTATCAACCCACCCCTAGGAGAACCATTAAACCTAGGGAAGTCAAAGTTGACCTCCCACAATTTTTTGGGAAAGATGATGTGGAGTTGTAT